TATTTACATAAACTCTATCTCTGATATTTAGCACTTTCATCCATAAATATGACATATTATATAACATACCTAAAAACTTTATTTTGCCATATATATATGTATATATATATATATATATAGAGAGAGAGAGAGCCACATACAGACTTCGTTGTAACACAGTTCATCATTATGGCTAGACATCCGATTGCTTCAAGCCGGGAACGAAACTTAATGTATTTGATATCAGTCAGAAACTCTTATCCGTAGGCTATCGGCGCACGGCCGAAGAAAGAAAATTTTCAAGCATTTTATACGTGATATATATTGATTTTATGTCATTTACGTGTATGTACATTGATAACTTGTGTAAATATAGCATGCTTTAATATATACATTACATATATATGAAAACTTGATACATCTATCTCTTCATATATATATATATATATATATATATATATATATACACAGACACTCAGACACACAGACACACACACATATATATAAAATATGAACACGGTCACAATGTGCTGGTCGTGTTTGGAAAATAAGACATTTCTATAACTCTAGATATATACATAAAAATCCATACATTCAGTTAAAAGTAAAAATAAAATCACCCTTCATAATCAGTAAAAATTTAACCGAAGCGCTCAAACATATGGCACATTCGGACAATTTCTACATAATTTACATCCAGAAAAGAAGAAAATTCTAAAAACACAAAAAAAATTAAATAAAAAACTTAACATTGTTTGTTGTTTTTAATGAAACATGTATAAAAGAGGGGTTGCTGTACAAATAATATATATATATATATATATATATATATATATATATATATATATATATATATATACATACTGTGAGTCTGCATATATAGTCTTTGTATATAGTAATGTTCGAAGCGTAGCCTGGATGTGGCGCAAGGCCGAAAGTAAGAGGCACCCAGTGAGGATCAAACTCACTACTCAGTCGTAATTGTTCCAGCGAGACAAGCTTGCTAACCATTACACCACCTCGAGGTGCCCTAGTTTTTATATATAGTTGATACACACGTCAACATCGACAATGCTTTAACATATATATATTTTGGGTGCGGTACTGTTTTGTAAAAAAAAATTGTGGTTTTTGTATTGGTGAGCTTTTACTCTTCTGCGATCCACAAACCCGGGTGTATACGCAAAAATTGCATTTCGTCTTTTGATGCGGACATTAAATTCGTGTTTCGTACTGATAAACACAGAAAAGTCTGTTCTCGTACACCCTTTATTGTATTAAGACACAAGCGCAAGTACCTGGCAAACAAGCACGCACGATCACAGACACATACACGTTTGCCGACACACACACCAGCTTGCACGCATATATTCACTTACAATGGCATATTCAGTCAATTAGATACAGACATTTTTCTTAAGCAATTCACCCCAAGTAAGGAGGGAGTGCCACTAGCACGCAAGGGGTTGCGGATGATTGAGAACAAGAGTAAAGAGGCATATTTGGGGAAAAGATACAGAAAAGCACCGAGAAAAAGATATCGATTGAAAGATGTCGATTGACATTACATTTGAATATTTGAAGATGATAGTTATCGGGGAAGCAAGGAGAAGGAAGTTCCACTGACAGGAAGTGCGGGAGAAGAAGCTGTTTGAAGAGAAGAGACAGTTACATTTAACCATTTTGACAATGAAAAGATGGGACCGAGATGCCAGTCTGGTAGCTCGCTTAAATTCATGTAATCAGGGAACCAGCGAAAGTAGCTCGTCGGAACAGTTGCCGTGAAAATATTTGTAGAAGGGACAGAGGGAAGCCACGGCACGTCTGTGAGAAAGCGACTGTAGACGAGATACCAGATCAGGACCTATCGTATTGCATATTCGTCTCTAAATTTTGTCGAGGACCTCGAGACGTACATCGGGAGCACCAGACCAAATATGACTGCAATGTTCCATGCAAGGACGGATGGTTGATTTATAGATTTGATGGATGGACTCAGACGAGAAAATCTTTCTGGCACGACACGTAGAACCAACTTTCCTTGCGGAAGTACGCATAGACGGAATGTGCGCACGCACGAACTTACACACGTACACACACAAACACACACACACACACATATATATATAAATTTACATACATATATATATATATATATATATATATATATACGTATAAAGTGAACATTGAAGTCAACACTCACAGACTGTTTTATGCGTTTAGCATGAAACAGTTTGTCACCTCTGAGTGCTGACTTCAATGTTCACTTTTATATTAACATACGCTCTATTTCTGATATTGAGCACTTTTTCCCATAAATATAGCATACCTTAAAACTATATATATATATATATATATATATATATAAATGGTAGTGGGGATACCCAGTGTTGCTCGGAAGATTTCTGAAGAATTATGTTTATTATTAACAATTCATTGATATTTTTCCGCCATATTATGAAAAGTATTTTTTATTCAATCTGTAAAATTTAAACTTTTTTCAGTGAATTTATCACTTTGAACTACCATGAAACTTGTTTTATTCGGGAATGATAGAACAATCTAGAAGATTTACAAGGAGCAAATCGCCTACATGCAGATAGAAAATGACTTGAGTAAAGTACAACAAATATACAACTGGGCGTAAGACAACTCGTAGGACATATGCTGAAAGGCAAGAAGAGGGAACCAATGAGTTAAACTAATTGACAAGATTGAGTCAACGTATGGCGGAAAATGGATTGCGAGTGATAGCAAGGGAACAAACATTTTTTTTTACCACTACATCCGCCTCTGATCGGAAGATTGGAGGTTTTGAGGAGCGTGGAACCACCTCTTAATTGCTATTGTTTCCAGGTCCTCACGAAGCACACACGGACGAATGTACGCATAGATAAATTCACATATAGAAATATATCCTTCCTTGAACCGGCTTCTAATGTTCTAGAGGTAGTCACTTGGGGAAAGAAGACGTGGCTCGTGGGGACATAATCCATTGGGTTAAGTATACTTGGATGAGTTATAGCATGGAATTTAGTTAGAGCAGTGTTACATTGATTCTAGTTAGTTACCTCTTCATTGCTCCAGTGGGTATGACGCTTGCGTTGTATCGTAATGGTCCGGGTTCGATTCTTGGTAGTAGATGCGCACTGCTGATGAATCACAAAATAGGACGAAACGGCAGACCAGTGCTTTCTGCATTCTGTTGAGGATTCTTCTAGACTCGATGAATTATATATATGTGTGTGTGTATAAAATGTATATATATATATATATATATATATATATATATATATATATATATATATATATATGCATTATATATGCAAGGGTACTTGGAAAGCGCTCTGCATCAATGATAGAGCTAACATATTTGTCTGACGATCGCAAATAGCGTGAAACCCAGGGTCACAAACTCACATCAATCCAAATATATATATATATATATATATATATATATATATATATATATATATGTTCCGGGAAAAGGGATATATTTGTTCGAAGTAGCAAAGTGGTTTTGTGCTACCGTAACAGGGTAGGACAATCTAGCATGTAACCATAATGAACTGGTCCTCGTCGTAGTGGTAGGCAATAGGCGAAGACGCGCGCGTGTGTGTGTGCGTGGGAGTGATTATAGTTGTTCCAACGAGAGAAAAGTGAATACATTAAAGCGCAAGAGTTTTTTTTTTTTTAATTAATGTGGATTTTTTTCTAAATATATATTACACTATATTTTCCATATTCTTGCTACACGTGTTTCGGGTCATTACATGCGAAGAATGGTTATTGCCATATATTATTTAAAGGAATTAATTTTTTTCTTATGTTTTCTCATGTTTAAACATTGTTTATTGTGTGTAGTAGTAATCCAAATTTTTCTTCGGCTAGTGGAAAATCTTCCTTTGCTTAAGGGGTAATAAAACAATTTGGATTAGTCAGAGAAAGGAAGAAGGAATCAGGTCTTTGATCTCATCTTTTTATGTCCTTTGTAGCATTTTTAAAGTTTTCTCCATTTTAGTGTATTGCATCTGTATTTTAACACACACACACACACACACACATATATATATATATATATATATATATATATATATATATATATATATATATATGTGTGTGTGTGTGCGTATGTGTGTGTGCGTGCATGCTTGTGTTTCTATCTTTGTAATTATCTCTCTGACTCAAGAAGAGGAGGAAGAAGCTGAAGAAGAAGAGAAAAAAGAAGAAAAGTAGAAGAGGAAGAAGAAGAGAAAGAGGAAGAAGAAAAAGAAGATGACGAAGAAGAAGAAATTGAGACAAGGAGAGGTTAAGAGAGATCTGAAAAGAGGAAAGGAAGAAAGTCAGAGTTGGACAGCGACAGAGAAGGTTCTCTGTACTACTCCAGTAAGTACCTTTCTAATTATATCTCTCACTTTCTTTCTACCTCTTTCTTTCCTCTCTTAATCTTTCTCTTTTTCCTCACCTCCTTTCCCTTGGTTACAAGTTTGAATCATTTTTCTTCAGTATCGGAATTTCTGAATGCATCATGAAAGGGCAGACAAATCAGTTCTGCGACAAAAAGGAAATTCAGCAAGTTTCACCTCTCCAACTCTCCAAATCAGTTTTTCTCATATTCTCTAACACTCAACAATCTCTTGCGTCCTAGTGGCTTTATTGCCTTGCTTAGAGTGAAATGAAAAAAAAAGAGGCTTATACGCTCTGCTTTCATAGTTTTTAAGAACTAGAACATTCATACTGAATAATCATTTATTCAATTCGCGCATGCGCCGCTGTGGTCACCACTCCCCCTTTGTTGTAATTGTCGTTCATGATGATATTCAAGAAAAAATAGTTTCAATGGCTTGCCAATTCCTTTTGCACCGTGAATGTTAAGGTTGTCCCCTTCTTTCTCTCAGAAGTTCCTCCCCTCACTGGTAAAGCTGTTAACTTCTGAGGCGCAGATCCTACGCCGAGTCTGGCGACTGTCCGATGACCACTTAACACAGATGAATTGGGGAGAGGTGTTCCCCTTTACCGGTCGGGTAATGAAACCCTTCCGACTATTCTCACACAGTTTAACCGGCTGGACGATGCCGTTTACCGGGGTGTGACTGTTGCAGTGCCAATGCGACTTCTTGGTGCCAAGTGTGAGAGTTGAATGTAAACCGTGGACCAGTACAGTTCCGCACCGTAATTCACCTGTGTAAAGCAGGATACACCGATTCAGTCATTAATAATGGTCAAGTACAAGTCAAATCCACGACTCCTGCCTGTCCGTTCAACCTTTCAGATGTTAACCATTGTCGCTGCGGCCTTTGGAAGGCTAACACAACGAGAGTGAAAACAGTTGGTACACTACGCAGAAGAAGAAGAAGAAGAAGAAGAGGAAAGAAGAAGAAGAAGACAAAAAAGAAGAAGCAAAGAAGGAGAGGAAAAAGAAGAAGAGAAAGATGAAGAAGAAAAAGAAGAGGAGGAAGAAGAAGAAATTGAGACAAGGAGAGGTTAAGAAAAGAGAAAAGGAAAAAAAGTCAGAGTTGGACAGTGACAGAGAAGGTTCTCTATACCACTCCAGTAAGTACCTGACTCCTCCTCCTATCATCTATATTTACATTAACCAGATCTGGCCGAAAATGAACTATTGCTGTCATAGATGTGCAGGAGCTACTCAGTATTCACTTTTCAGTATCGACTGACTCCAAAAGTGTCTCCGCGTCCCTTTGGGTGATGAATTATTTTTCACCAAGAAATTCCTTTCTCACAGATGAAGTCTCATTCTGCTCTGTTGCTATTTCCATGAAAAGTGCTCAGATGAACTACTTTCCTTTTCCATTGATGTCATGTAAGTTACACTAGAGCAGCTTCTTCTGGCGAACCACACCTTTGCGGAACCGACTCTCAAGGGGATGCTTCCCCGATCACTACACTGGTAACCTGTTCAAGTTTAGTGACAGCCGATATCTATACTACATATCCTCATAATATTTACCTCTACTCTTAATCTCACTCACTTACCCTATACACTGAATGGCTCTTCGACCTTTTATCGGGTTAATAAAAAAATGATCTCTGTTTTGCTATAAATTCTTGGGAAATATAGTGAACTAGTTTCCAGTTGTCTCCTCCATAGTTTTTAATTCATAGTAGTCATTTGTGTAGACTGGCTGCCAACCATGGCTTGATACCCCAGACTCTCTTGTTATTTAATTAAGGTAGAAGCGATGAGCTCTTGTTTTCCAAAGAGCCTTAATGCAAAGTGAATATAACCGACGAGACCAGAATTTGAACACGGATTGACAGTCCCACTTTCCGCATTGGTAATCATTACGCAAACCTCACATACTGCTACTAATACTACGACTAGTACTACTACTACTACTACTACTACTAATAATAATAATAATAAAATGAAATGATAGAAATAAACAAATATACAAAGAGACAAATGAAACGAGAAAGCAGGCACTTCAAAGGTTTTATTTCGCCCTGTATCTATCTTTCTTCATTGTTGTTAGTGCTTCTAATAATTTCCCGTTTCAAACCGATTTTCCTTTGAAATCTTCCTTTTTTTAAAAAATCGTTCAGCTTCCAATATCGCATGACTCACGCGAGAATTCGTCCTTCAAAAAAGACCGACATATTTTTTTTCTTTATTCAATAAAGTGGACTTCTTTTATTATTATAAGTTTTCAGTTATTTAGTTTTCTCTTTCCCTCCTTCTCTCTCACTATTTGTGTGTGTGTGTGTGTGTTTGTGTGCACATGTATGTGTGTGTGTACGTGTATGTGTATTAGGGTGTGTGTGTGTGTGGATGAGGACTCGTTTTATTTTTGCAATTTCTTTATGCAAATTTACTTTGTCATTCTCCCAAGGCCTTCTCAAACACAAAAAATCCTAAACTTGCACCTTCCTTACAAAGCACATATTATATGAAGTTGTTGTACCCCTAGGTCAGTGTTCGAATCCAGAAACCGTAGCACATTTTTTTAAATTAAATAGAAAATTATGCTCACTACATTAATGTATTTGTAAAATCTATATGAAAACAAAAAAAAAATAAATAAATCCGAAAGTCTCTAAACGTTAACGTTTAACGTCCCCTTTGTAGAGGAAACCATCTTTTGGTCCAGTGTGCTTTACCGCTCGGCCACGAAGGATGACGATGTAAGCAAGGTTCTATTTTCCCTTTTTAAGAGAGAGAGAGAGAGAGAGAGAGAGAGAGAGAGAGAGAGAGAAACCGTGGTTAATATACATGCAGAAATTTCAGTTTATCAGGTAAGTGGTTCCTGAAAAACCCTTAAACAAATGAATATCTAAATGAATAATAAATTGAAATTAATAAAATCTAATTTTAAAAGATGATGCTGTTCATCATCAATGTTTCGACTTGAAGGCGCACTACAAATTAATGTGATTTCTCATCTTCAGCCACTTAATAAATATTTTTTATCGCTTTTCAAAAACTTCCTGCCTTGTGCTAACTCATGTAAGTTCTCCAAATCCTCTTCTAAATTTTTCGGGGAAATAACGGGATATTATTGATAATTCTTATAATGTCATTATTCATTTTATGTATACTAGCTGTTCGTTCAATGTCTATAGACATTGTTCTTCCATTTCATGTTGAGGAGAAAACCATTTCCATAATAAACAAGGTTTGCTAGTCGAAATGGTAAGATGGAACCGTAATTTTTAGGTTAACAGTTTCGGACATTTCGCTCATGGAACTTTCTTCCGGTTTCCTGCATTCCGCTCAACTACGATCTTTCAAAATTTAAATGCAATATTAATGGTTATCTTCAATTTTCTTAATAAATCTTATTTTATTGATCACTCTCCTTTATTTTTCACATATTCTCTCACACTCCTTGCGTTTTAGTGGCTTTATCGCCTTGTTTGGATGAAATGAATAAAAAATAAAATAAATAAAGCAATCCCTATATATATATATATATATATATATATATATATATATATATATATATATATTTGTTTAGAAATATGATTCCTTCGCTACATAAGATTTCTCATGTTTCAAAAACGAGAGCTGAAAATTCCTAAAATTTCGCTTGAAGATGAAACGAGACTAAACACCTCAATTCAACTTAATTTTAATAATTATTTGTATGATTTCGGCTCTCGTTTTTTAAACATAAGAACTCTTATGTAGCGAAGGAATCATATTTTTAAACAAAAAAATATTATTATTATAATAAAGCTCTACTTATGTATCTTAAAAATAAAAACAAAATTACTAAGGAACTCCGGATTATACACCCAACGTGTTCTTTTCTATTTTCTGCATACCTGCGCACTCATACATACATACATGCATATATATATATATATATATATATGGATTGCTTTATTTTATTTTTTATTCATTTCATCCAAACAAGGCGATAAAGCCACTTAAACACACACACACATACACGCACACACACACACACACACAGACACACACACACACACACATATATATATATGCACCCTTATGCAGTTTAATTGAAACAACTGTTTTAGTTTCTTTTCTTTCAGTTTAGTCAGTTTTAGATTTACTCACAAATAGTCATTTGCAGTGGTGTGCAGTAATATGAATATATTTTCGGAGTGTATGATGAAAGTTTTTAGGCCTTGAGAAATATTACGCCATCAGTGATTGTATCAGATTTTATCATGCCCAGACACTATTGTCTTGATTGTCGATTAGTTGTCCTATTGCCATTGTCTGCGATGGACGTTATTCTAAAGTAGCATACTAAAATTACCAGTTTGCAAATCAAAGTACCAAAGACTGGCACAGAAACTATTCTGAGTTAAATTCAATCGAGAATCTGTGGTCAATCTGCAAGGAATGATTTCGTGGAATGGACATATGAAGTACTAATAGTAATAATAGTACTAATATGTGCACTGGGTCATGTTTCATTAGAATAATACGAAAAATGTAAATAATAACGGAATTATCCGTTTTGTTCCAATTAATTTGCATAGATACATAGATAGAGATAGAGAGAAAGAGAGAGAGGGAGAGGGAGACAGAGAGAGGGAGAAAGAGAGAAGGAGAGAGAGGAGAGAGAAAGAGAGAGAGAGGGAGACAGAGAAGGAGAGAGAGGGAGAGAGAGAAGGAGAGAGAGGGAGAGAGAGAGAGAAAGAGAGAGAGAGAGTGAGACAGAGAGAAGGAGAGAGAGGGAGAAAGAGAGAAGGAGAGAGATGGAGAGAGATAGAGAGAAAGAGAGAGAGAGAGAGAGGGAGACAGAGAGAAGGAGAGAGAGGGAGAAAGAGAGAAGGAGAGAGAGGGAGAGAGAGAGAGAAATGAAAGTTGCATCAAATTCAACGAATAAAAATTTATTTATATGTATATATATTTTCACCTCTTAAAATTTATATATATATATATATATTGCGTATAATTATGAAACAGACTGTCGCTTCTGGGTGTGGACTTCAATATCCAATTTTTATATTTACATAAGCTCTATCCCTGATATTGGTCACATTTAACTATACCTTAAAACTATATTTTATCATTAAACAGAAAAAAAAACATCAATTGCATTTAACGAAACTTGTTCATATATATATATATATATATATATATATATATATATATATACATGAATCATTCACACAAAAAGTAGATTAGTAAAGTTAATGATATAAATGGCGAAAAACATCTTCGAAAACAAATTTATTAAAGTTACATTAACCCACGAACCTCTCGATGAATGTTATGATCCTTGTTTTTAATAACTTCAACATTTTAATATTTACTCTTTCGTGTCCCGCTACTATCTGGATTTACTAAAAAAAATAAATTAATTTCCATGCCTGAGGATGGCTGTAAGTACAGCTGAAAGTACTAGAAAAATTAAAAAAAAAAAGGCCTTATACAACTTGAAGTTATTAAAAACAAGGATCATAACATTCATCGAAAGTTTCGTGGGTTAATGTAAGTTTAATAAATTTATTTGCGAAGATGCTTTTCGTCATCTATATCATTAACTTTACTAATCTACTTTTGTGTGAATCATTCATGTTATATAAATTGAACTGCACTACATATTTGATATATATATATATATATATATATATATATATATATATATATAAGTGAACATCGAAGTCAACACACAAAGACGACAGGCTGTTTCATACTAGGTGCAATCATCAGGCCTATATATATATATATATATATATATATATATATATATATATATATATATATATATATATATATCTATCTATCTATCTATCTATCTATCTATATATATATATATATATATATATATATACAGAAGAGAAGATAGACAGATATATATATATATATATATATATATATATATATATATAATTCTGTATATAACTAATACATTGAGAGAATAGTTTTGGATAAGTTACTTCTTGCTTTTGAACGAAGGTGGGCTAACAACTTCATAGGCTGACTCTGAAGGAGTGATGCTAGAACCGTGAAATATTGCATGCATAAGTGGACATTGAAATCAACACCTAGTTTACTTTTATATTCACATATAACATATCTTAAAACTATATTTTATCATATATACAGTGGAGAGAAAGAAATATTCATACACATACAAATTTTTAATTTATTGTATTTACAGCTAATGAATAAAATACTTTTCATATAATTAACTGTAAGCAGATGCTTAATAACTAAATATGTATAGAAAACAAAACAAAAAGGATTTATAGAAATAAATCCCATGTATCCATTTTAAAGGGTAAAAAAATTATTAGTAACAATGTAAATTTCACATTTTAAAACTTTTAAATTGCTTTAATGCTCTAGATTATTCAAATGGATTATTCTAGAATGTTCCAGTAATATTATCAGTAGTTATGTTTAGCCTAAAAAATGCAAACAACATTCTGTAATTGATATTCGTGCAAGAAGGTTATCATCATGTCAAGAGGTAAAGAATTGACAAATTCGCAAAAAGAAGTGATGTTGAGCTCTGGAAATAAGGTAGAAGTTACAGGAAAATCTCAGACTACCTGAATATTCCATTTACTACCATTAATTCATTAATAGCAATGTATAAAAAAAAGCTCAAAACTATTGAAAACCAAATATAACAGGTGCTCCACGTAAAAATTCTTCAAGATCTTCAAGGAAATTAATGCGTCAGATTAAACAAAATCCAATGCTTACTCGTCAAGTCTTGCAGGATGATTTGCTTTCATCAGGAATCTGTGTCACTAAACAGACAATAAGCAATGAAATTCATAGGAACAATCTAAAGTCACGCTCCCCTCGGAAAACTCCATTGCTATTTAAAAGACATAGAGATGCCAGGTTGAAATTCGTTCGTGAACATAAGGATAAGGAAAACTGGTATTGGGAAAGAGTATTATGGACAGACGAAACCAAAACTGAATTGTTTGGACGAAATTCTAGAAATCGTGTATGGAGGAAAGATCCAGCAGCGAAATTTGGTGATGGCAGAGTCATAGTTTTTAGATGTTTTCCGCAAAAGGATATCGAGTTATACTTATTATAAAACCCAGGTTGTGTGTGTGTGTGTGTGTGTTCGTTTATATATGGGATCGGATTTCCTACATTTTTCAACCGATTTCAACAAAACTTCACTTTTTTTTGGCAGGTAGTGTTTCTTATTGTCTTGCACACTTTTTTCTTTATTTTTCTTTATTTTTACATTCAAAATGCTTTAAAAATTCCATTTACAAGACAATTGTTTATAATAAAATTCTATTCAATCGATAGACTCATAGCGATTGAAAACAATGTTTGTTTGCATTTGACCAATTCGTAAAAAACAAAAAACAAAAAAAAACTAATTAAGACATGCGTGTCCGTCAACCTTAAACAATAATCTTTGTCAATTTTATTTTTCAGTCTTTATGATGGTCAATACTTGACCTATCTCTTACTGTTACATCACCGGGCAACACCGGGCTCTACTGCTAGTAAAGGATAAACTTACATGCATTGAAAAGGGATAAGTGAGAGAATGAGAAGATACAGGCAAAGGAATAGAGAAAAGCAAACAAAGCCGCAAAAATGTGTCGCCCAGTGAGGATTGAACTCGCTATTCAGGGATAATTGTTAATCAGGCGATCACGCTAGCCCATACCCGACGCCATGGCATCAGTACTGCCTCTAGTGTCACTGTTACAAGGGTGACTTTGACAGTTTCCAGATCACCACGGTCAGCATTAAGGGAACATTGTTACCACTTAATAAATGTCAGAACCACTAACAGAAATTAGTGTCAGCAGGATAATGGCGTCGAAAAATACAAGTCTTCCGGAAAATGTGGCCCAAGGAGTGAAGACTCAGTGGAACAGATATCGATATTTAGTTATAGTGAGAAAGAGAGAGAGAGAAAGAGAGCAAAAGAGGTGGGTGGGTAGACGATAAAAGAGAAAAGGAAAGAACAAAAGACAAAAGAAGCGAACAGTAATAAATAAAGAGTACCAATCCTGAAAAAAAGGAAAGAAAATTATCTAAAAAGAAAGAAAGAAAAAGAAAGTGAGAAAAATAATGAATGACGAAGCCTTTGAGAAAGAAAGAAAGAAAGAAAGAAAGAAAGGCGATAGGTAAAAATAAAGGCGGCAACATTTTGAAAAAGAAAGAAAGACGATTGGTAAAAATAAAGGCGACAACAGTGTAAAAGAAAGAAAGAAAGAAAGAAAGAAAGAAAGAAAGAAAGAAAGAAAGAAAGAAAGGCGATTGAGAAAATTAAGGTGGCAACATTGAAAAAAAAAGAAACAATCAAACAAACGTAGAAACTTGGTAGAAAGAAGAGAAATAACATTAGAAAAAAAGAAAGAAAGGCAGAAAGAAAGAAACTGGGTAAAAAGGCTAAAGAAAAAAAAGAAAGACAAAGAAAGGAAGTATAGAAGGAATAAAGGAAGAGAAGAAAGAATGAGCGAAATAGAAAAAAATGAAACTATAAATCAATTCAAAAGAATGAAATGTATAAAAAAAAAGGAGGGGGAACAAAAGAAATTAACAAAAAGTTTCGTTGGTCTTATGTCGAGGGGTCTGTGTCCCGCTTATAAATATTCATGACGGATCATTGAGACTGTAAACTTTTCCTCTCCCGGCTTTCGCAGTAAGCCCACACCCACTCCTACCCAATTCTCCTCGAAAACCCCGACCCCAATCACCTCCTTTCATTTTATTCATTCACAATATACACGGGAGCATCGTATATTTTACATGCATTTTGTTTCAGTTTGTATTATTTCATTCTTTTTATCCACCTGCTTTTAGATTTCCATCTAGTGGCCGGACTATTCGCAAGGAACATCACCAACCTGGTACCTCGTGTGATAATTTTAAATATCAATTGAGCGGTAAATTTAGATAACCGTTGAAGTAATAGTAATGGTGCGATGAACTGTTTCCTTATAAGGAAACATTCAGTGTTTAGTGACCGAACAGTTAGCGTTATTCCCGGTTGAAAAGTATGAGCTATATTCACTAGCAAAAAAAATTATTACAATGCAAAATAAGTTTCGGCTTTAAATAAACGGTTGATAAACCGTAAAAAAACAAATCAATCTCTCAATCACTTAACCAATTTCAGTTGAACTTTATAAAATCTTTCTCTTTCAGTTTTCAGAAAAATAATTTTCTGACGTCTACTGTTTTTTAAAATAATCATTTCACTTGACAAAGCCACTAGGTTACAGGGGATGAAATAAAATGAGAAGAAGAAATGAGGAAAGAACAATGCATCAAGAGGATTCAAGAATACAGAAAATGGCGATTTATATTTTTTAAAGCTTGTAGATGGCAGGAAAACAATAAATAGGAAGGGAGTTCCACAAGTAAGAAGAAACTGTTAGAATAGAAAAGACAGCTGCATGTAGGTAGTTCAGCAGTAAAACGGTGGGACCTAGTTGCCAATCTAGTAGCACGCTTAAATTCATTTAGACGAGGCACTAGTAAAAAATATCTCATCAAAAAAGTTGACATGAAAATACTTGTAGAAAAGACAGAGGGAAGCCAGGTCAATTCGGTGTGATTGTGAGTGAAGACAAGATGCCTGGCCAGGATCGATTACTTTGCAGGCCCTTCTATGAATTCTGTAAAGAATCTCGAGATATACAAACATCAGCAATATTCAATGTACAGACGAACCGCTTTTTTTAGTATTGATGGGAGGTGGGGTCTTTCCTAACCTTTTGTTTAAATAATGTGGAAAGTCAACATCAAGATTATGTCATTATTTTCTCTTTGAGTTATTTGTACTATCTATTTTAGATGTTGCTGCCTTCAAATAATATAGTTTCTATTATTTGGTAAACTTTTTTGTGATTCTCTAGCGTCAGGGGGCTAAACTCGCTAATGATCACTCGTAAGGCTGATATAGAAATTCTTGTTGTACATTTTTACGTTCGCCTGCACTTTGTTTGATTTTCATCCGTAGACGACATTAGAAATTTTATTTTAAATACATTCAAACTACATGTTCGATTTGTTGTGACGGCTACTATATAAACGCAATTTCTATTGGGCTGAACAAATTTTGCTGTAGTGTTGTTGTTAATAGACGCTAAAATAATTTAGTTTTAATTAACTTAATTAAGATATATCCCTTTTAACTGTTTTGTGACAGCCGTCATATCAGCAACATGTTCGTCATATTAGACATAGAAATTAAAATTTAAAAGGCAAATAAGTCATTTTAATTGCAATATACACATATATATATATATATATATATATATATATATATATATATATATATATAATGTGCATATATATATATATATATATATATATATATATATATATATATATATATATATAAGAAAATATCTTGAAAAACAAAACAAAAATCCTTAAAATGCGATTATGTTGTTTTAATATGAATGAAATGTCGACGTCTGACGTTTCGGTTTAAAACCTTCTTCAGGACAATATTCATTAAAATACAATTAACATAATCAGTATAACACGACGAAAATGATGGACATAAAACAAGTCTTATCCAAAACAGATAAATGAAAATTTTAAATGATCAGCTTTCCGTTTGAGCGTGGTCATGTTGTCGTCAAATGGGCGACCTTTCAACGTAATCTTAAAAATTTTATAAATTTGATTCCGATGGCAAGATTTTTCATATATACAGTTCGTTAGAAAATCTTTTCTGTTCTTGTAGGAATCCTGTATCTTCGGATAAGCATGCAGTCCTCCATGTAATAAAAAATTTATTTATCTGTTTTGGATAAGACTTGTTTTTATGTCCATCATTTTCGTCGTGTTATACTGATTATGTTAATTGTATTTTTAATGAATATTGTCCTGAAGAAGGTTTTAAACCGAAACGTCAGACGTCGACATTTCATCTATATTAAAACAACATAATCGCATTTTAAGGATTTTTGTTTTGTTTTTCAGATATTTTCTTCATTCTGTCGGATTTATATCCATTTATATTTGCTTATCATACTGTCCACTGGAAATACAAACCTGAATTCATTTTATTACATGGAGGACTGCATGCTTATCCGAAGATACAGGATTCCTACAAGAACACAAAAAAGATTTTCTAACGAACTGTATATATGAAAAATCTTTCCATCGGAATCAAATTTATAAAATTTTAAGATTACGTTGTGAAAGCGTCGCCCATTTTGACGACAACATGACCACGCTCAAACGGAAAGCTGATCATTTAAAAATTTTCATTTATCTGTTTTTGGATAGGACTTGTTTTTATGTCCATCATTTTCGTCGTGTTATACTGATTATATTAATTGTATTTTTAATGAATATTGTCCTGAAGAAGGTTTTTAAACCGAAACGTCAGACGTCGACATTTCATTCATATTAAAAAACAACATAATCGCATTTTAAGGATTTTTGTTTTGTTTTTCCAGATATTTTCTTCATTCTGTCGGATTTATATCCATTTATATTTGCTTATCATATATATATATATAAAGACCTTAAAGTGATCTGTTTTTTCCTTAAATTAATATATATATATATATATATATATATATATATATTATTTATATTTTTGTGTGTGTGTGTGTGTGTGTGTGTGTGTGTGTGTGTGTGTGTGTGTGTGTGTGTGATCTTTAGAAAAGGGTTCACATTTTATTACTAAAACAGGATACAAAAGTATCACAGCGATTAAAATTTTAGGTACTTCTTCAGAATAAATAAAATCACCGGGAAAATAAAACCGAGAAGTTCAAAAGAAAAATTAATTTCAACGATTGATAAAAATTATTTGATCTTTATTTGACACCTGAATTCGGCGTAATCATTCTTCGTATACGCAACCAATTTCTGTAGTTTGTTTACAATTATTTTGCGTAAAATTTTTATTTTCTTTTAAAATCACTATTCTTTATTATCCTTTTATATAAAGCCACTCATAAAAGATATTAGGGAACCCGAGTGATGTAATATTTCGAATACGTTACAGAACGCGTGCTAGAAAAAGATTAAAAACAAAAAAAGATATGAGGAATATACCGTGCCCCGCTTAAGATTTAATTATGGTTTACTTAGACGATATCAATTGCATTTGTGACGGAAAACGAAATTAAAGTTAAAACTTTAATAAAGAATCATTTTTAATCCTTTCATTCTGTTCAATATTTAAATTTAATTTTAAATGAGTTATTAATTTAATTTTTAATTGCGTGTAACTTCAGAAGTTACTATCTTTTACTTTAGATCGTTTACGATTCGTCGAGATCAAAAAACGGACGGACACACGTACACTGTACTTTATATAGATTCGTACAAATAATAAAAATAGTAATAGGTACAAATATTAGATAAATTATTTTCCTGTGAAGTTGAGCTCTGTGAAACTTTTCCAAGTGACATCATTTATACGATAAATATAGCACTGAAGTGAATTTTAGTTACAAAAATGTTAGTATGTAAAATCGTATGTATCATACTAACTAAAATGTAATTTATCTTATCAGTAACATGTTCGTCATATTAAGCTTTATTTTTAATTTAATAAAAAATAAAAATGTGACTCAAATTCAAAAAAAAAATAAATAAAATAAAGATTGTGCAGTTTATGAAGAATGTACTGTAAATAATCACACATGTAAAAAGTGGTTTGCAAAGTTCCTTGGAGATTTCATGCTTAACTATCCTTTACGTTTGGGTCGACTAGTTGAGGCTGATCGCAACCAAAGATATTTCATGAGAATCAGCAACGTTATATAAACTCTGGAGATAGCCAACATGCTCAGATCATTTCAATTCTTTTTCTGGAGGTAAGCGATCATGGCTCTCCACAACTTCTTGCCCTTTGTAGCTCTCAGTAAAGTTTGTCTTTATGCTGTCTCTTTTAATCCCTGTTCTGTCAACAATTTAACAAGCTCATTAGGTAAGTTATTGTTATGGAGTGATTTCCAAGTGGAGGCTTGTATTTGTACAAGTTCGACGTACAAAACGTTAGGAACTTCGTATAATAGGTATGACGCAGTAATCTAGTTGTGGTCGCTGATACTTTTAGTATCCGACTAACGGTCGTCCGACATCGACTGACTGACCAACTCACTGAGCGACTGACTCGTTACTCTTACTACTCCTACTTATTATAGGTGGGAGAGTCTATTAACTATAGAATAGGTGTGTTCCACTATAACAGTTATGAACTGCTTTCTTCTGTTACCGCTTATCTTCAATGTCCTGTGGGTGTCAAATTTTACAAGCCACCTTTCCTCATTGTGTGCCCTAGAAATTTCAATTATTTCTTGTTCGGTTCATGCTATTCTCAGCATCCTTCTGTAGAATCATATTTCTGTTGCCTCAAGTCTCTTCTCCATCTGTGATGCGATGGTTCAGCACTCACTGTTATATATGAGTAGTGATAATACATAACAATTCAATATTTTTGTTTCCAATGAAATTTTCCTGTTTCTTAATAACTTGCTTAACTTTTGTAAAGCATCTTTCGCTAACCCAACAAGTCTTTCGATAACCCAACAATTCTTTCGATTTAAATATCGCATTTTCCACCCTCTTTTAAAACATTTCCTAGCCATTTAAAAGTTTACACTTGTATAATTTTTGTATGTCCAATTTGCAATTTTCACGTTGGATTGTTTCTCAGTAAAAGAAACATTTCAATCAAGTTTCGAAAAGTAATTGAATCAGCATGGTTATGTTAGTCACTTTGATGTGTGGTTTCCGTGAGGGTAAGACTGTATATGGTGGGATTTTATTGAATTCTTTACTGAATAATTCATTCTGCCAAGTACTTCGCCGAATTAGACAACAGTCAGCAAAAAGCATCCATCCAGATTTAGTTTTTAGAAATGGTCAGCTGCACCATCAAGACAACGCTAGACACGTTACATTGGAGACCAGTTAAAATGGTTTAGGGCTTATGGCTGCATCACGTTGAAACACAAGTTCCCGTACGATCACCAAAGTTAAGCAACGCCGAGCCTGGTCAGTGCCTAGATGGGTGACCGTTTTGGGATACAGGGTGCCGTAAGCTTGAATGTGTGGATGGTATCATGGATAATGGCTCGGAATTCTCAATCAGAGAGCCGAGTTCCAATTCTTGTTGGGTTCATTGTATTGAATTATGCGCAAATACTCTTAGGTAAGGTATGAATCTCCATCTGCTTCCCCAGCTATGGGTTAATTAGTAAAACTTGTTTCACTAAAACATTATTATCTTCAAAAATATTCTTACAATCTAAAAATATTTTCTGGCTTTAAATAAAACCCGCAAAGGTTTCATAAGCCGTAGAAACCATACATAGGCTATCAACTATATACAACCATTCAAGTGAATGAATCCTTTAGGCTTTAAAGAATACAACCCTTCAATAGCCCCTATAGACTGGTTTTACAAAACCAGAAACGAAGTGCTATACGAAATAAGAAAAATAAAATCACGCGAACATTTCTAACAGCAGCAACAACAAAGATAGATAAGTACATGTAAATAGAAGTAGTAATGATAGAATTACGTTGTTTACTTTCCAAACTACTGAAGACAAAAGGTTAGAAAGGAAACTCCCATGAATAGTAATAAGAATGATAACGTATTTTTCTATGTTGTTGCTTGGGGTTATTGTTAAGCTTAGTTTGGATTGTAGAGGATCCTATCAAAAGCAATATACGAAAACAATGTCAGTGTCTTTAGTCATTTATTTATATATTATTTAGTAAATGGCAATTTCTTATTTCTTCCATCAACGGGCCAGCACAGCCAGGCAACAATGCTATAACAACGCAACAGTGAAAGTTACCAATTCAAGAATCTTAAACAACCAGCGTGTTGCAATAAAAGGCAACAAAAATATGATGAAAGATAGTGAAAAAAAAGGAATAATAAAAATGCTTCATTAAAATCAAGGGTCTGAGAAAGGGAAAAATTTCGTTAGAAACAAAGAATGCTAGATTGCTATGTGGCAATCATTTTCTGATATGGCAATGAATACTGGGCAATCTACTCCATGGATGAGGAGAGAACTAGACACAACAGAAATGTGGTTCTACAGAAGGATACTGAGAATTCTATGGTAGGAGCGAGTAAGCAACAAGTCTTTAAAAATGGCTCCAGTAAAAAAAGCATTAACTTAAAATCATGATAAGACAACTAAATTCCTTGGGCACATGATGAGAAAGGAGGGCTTGGAAAACTTAACGCACACGAGGCCCACTGAGGGGAAGAGAGATATGGAAGGCAACAAGCCATTTAACTGACGATCTTGTGTGAATGGATGGCAGAACGGGGAATGCTGGCCTTAGAAAAGGATGAAAAACTGCTAAGAACCACACGAGAAAGTTGTGGAGAGCCATGATCTCCTTTATCCTGAAGGTATGGAGGACATAGAAGAAGAAGAAGAAGAAGAAGAAGAAGAAGAAGAAGAAGAAGAAGAAGAAGAAGAAGATATCGTTGTAGACTTCAGAAACTTATTTTCCTGAAGAAAAAAAAACTGTTTCGAGTGAAAGATTTTATAAATTTCAAAAGACAGTAACACTAATATGTTCAGTAAATGAATGGCAAATATTACTTGTCTGTAAATATGACCATTACTGTTTATCATACATACCGCTGTAAGTCATTAAACACAGATCGTTAATTAGAGAAAGTTTTCTCAACCAGACAAATTCTCTTCATTTAAAATTTAATATATAAGACAGAAGAAAGAGACGAAAATTGGGAATGCTGTAGTTACCATCTTTCGGATACAGATGATAAAAATAGCGATGGATTTGATTTGGTGACCATCTCGTCCGACAGAGCAATGGGTGTAAACAACGGGATGGGATTCTCAACGCTAACAATCGTTTGATAAGTTAACTTATATTCCAAAAGTTAAGCAACGTAATAGGAAACACGAAAATCTTCCGAGAAAAACAGAAAAGAAAACTGAATTGATATTTTTATATATTTTTTAAATGAATTTACCCTAAGGAAGGCGACAATGTAATGATGAAGCAATAGGAAACTGGGAGTGAAAGCTAATGAAAATACTTCAGAGAGAACCGAAAACCTAATCCTAAACAGGAAACAAGGGATAAACCTCTAACCAGGTTCAAATGACTGGTGAGGAATGTAAACCTCACGATAGGTAAACGCATCTCTACTACCACTGAGGAGAATAAATAAATAATTAGTGAATACAAATTCAGAGCTCTGTCAGAGAGGTTAGAGGGTATAGAGTTGAAGTAGACTTTAGGAGGAACAAGAAAGTTTATTTTAACTTCTTTTAAAAGTATTTAAAATTGAGCACTCTTAAATATGTAAGAAAAGGGGTATATATGTATATACCCTTTTTTAATGTTATACATTATTTATATAAACACAAATATTTAAGTAAATGCTCTGTTTATAGTAAACAATATTAACAGCATTTACAGGCCTGAACGTCCAAGAAATTTTCACAGAAAATATGCGTCCTCTGACAGGAATCAAACCTATATCTTACAGGGAACTGTCATATAGCCTGATATGCCATACCAGTTTAGCTACAGAGGAGCGTCTGGTGAACAAGGTCGATTTTACTGCTTTTAAACTACTGAACGTCTCTAAATCTTTAACTTTTCGGTGTAAACTGTAAGGTCATTTGTTGTATATCACCTCACTTTACTCCATTTTATGCACACATTGAGAAGGATGGTAAAAGAGAGACATTGTTAAGACCTATGAAAATTAATATGTCGCAGGTAGCTATGATCCGAGCCTCGTCCTGAAGTGGCACATCACATCAAAGAAAGCTGCTGTTCTGCCACTTCAGCCATTTTTGTTAGATAATCAATTTCGCGAAGGAAAGAATTCAGGGTGACTTTCTTTTAATGATTCGCTAGGTCGATGAAAGACCTCCATTCCTAGTTGGAAACCAACCTAATTACGATTCTGTCTTTCCACTCCTTTTTTTCACCCCCCCCCTCTTATCCCAGGAACTTTTAAAAAATAAAACAATTGTACCCCGGTTTATACTTCTCGTTCTTTTGAAATTCATTAGAGGTTTATCCGTTGTTTTCTGTTTCTTCAGATGGCTGGAATGTCGAAATGAACCCTTTATTTCGCTCACTGGGGTAGACTGTTCTAGTTACACGTGCCATGTTTAATGGATGTCAGTTATCAGTGTCCTCAAGGATAAGTGGATAATTGCGTTTGTTAGATCCAGTGAGAGGACCCAAAAAGTATGAGTTCAATACCCGGTTAAGGCAGTGGAGAACCTTCAGAGGGGAATTAACAGGATATAAATGATAACTGACATCCATTAGACATGGCACGTGGAACTAGAACAGTCTACCCAGTGAGCGAAATAAAGGGTTCAGTTCGACATTCCGACCACCTGAAGAAGGCCGGAGTGTACAACGGCCGGAGCGTACAACGGCCGAAACGTTGTAATAAATATGGCGAGAAAGATGAGGGCAATAGTCCGAATAATGTAAATAGTGTACATAATACCTCATATCAGAAATATAGACGGATAATGAATAGTTCACAAACACGAGAAGAAGGAAGTTCATTTAACAGACAGTTAGAATGAAGTTTCCTGTTGGTGAACAGATTGGAACTATGTTGATTCTTCTGCTGGACTTTTGACAAAGAGTGTCAGATAAACAACGGATTGCAGTTGTAGAAGACACGGTGGCAGTTGTTGTAGACATGATTGCAGCAGAAATATTTGCAGTTGTATCAGACAGGGTGGCAGTCGCATCAGACAGGGATGCATTTGCTGCATACAGTGCTAGAGTTGCAGCTGGGGTGGCGGTAAAAGAGGCAATAGAATATGCAGCAGTAGCAGATGCAGCAGTAGCAGGTGCAGCAGTAGCTGAAACTAACTTCGGTGAAATTGCAACAGAATGGGCCACCACTTTATATCAATTTTCAAATACTATGAAATTTCTTCCTGCAAGAAAATTCCAAACTGATTTGGATGTAATCGGAGGGAAACCATTTTTTGCATTCCCCAGATAGACGAATTTTACTACCTTCTGTAATTTTTCATATTTTTGGAGAATTTTATCAAAAATATTTCTACACAGAATTGGCTGTCAACTTTTTATGCAGCTGTAATGGTTCAACATTTCTTCAGTTCTCTCCGACGAAAAATTAAAAAAATAAAATACAATAAAGATAAGTAAGCAAGAAAATTGATTTGAAAATATTTTTGTAATAATTAAGATATTCTTTCATTTTAATACTAACTAACAGTTAATAAAGTTTACTAAACAATTGCTAAACTATTTAACAATTATTTTAAAATAATTAATGTTCAGTCAATTTTGTTACATGAAGCATTCTATTTTCTTCAATACAAAAATTGTGAACACTCAGTGTTGAAAACTATTCACAATTAATTAAAATGAGAAAAATTATTTCAAATACGTACGAAATAAAGTCTAAAAATAATTAAACTAAACATTAGGTTTTCAAATTAAATAAAAAGTTTATCTTCCAAACGGATTTTTAACAAAATAACTCTCACAAAAAAGAATAAAATTTAAAAAAGTAAACTAAAAGACTGCTAACAAAAATATTATTTTTTGTGAAATAGAAGTTAAAAAATAATTTGAAAGGAAATTTCAAAATAACACACAAATTAAAAAGTAAGAATTTCAAATAGAAATTAAATAAGAAAAATTTAAGTTAAAGTAAAAATTATTTTTAGTAGAATTATATTGTTTTTTTTTTCTCTGGGTTCTTTTTTAATTAAGTGAAACTAAAAAAATAATTGAAGTATGACCCACACTAAAATAAATGCATAAAATAAAATATTTAGTGAAACATGAATTATAAAAAGTAAAACTTACTTTAAAATTTTGAAGGGATGATTTGCAAAGCCCGATGAGACATAAACACGCTGAAACACAATGAATAAGGAAATTTAAGAATTGTACACAGCCTAAAAAGTTTCTTGTTTTTAATTTAGTAAGGGTAGAAAAACCCTGAAAACATGTGATCTTCTAGTGATAATGTCATGTATGGACTACCATACTTAAAAAAATGGGAATGTTTGAACAC